AATCCAATTTGAATAAACTTTTTTTTTATTTTGTAAATCTCAATAGAATCTACGAATGAAAAAAATTTCATTCAAATAACTAGATGCCTGGCAAATTTAATTTTATTCACAAAATCAACATAGATCATTTTGATAGCAAAGATCCCATGTGATTTTTGCCGCAACCGTAACCGTAACTTGTCGTATGCTGCAAATCCATTGGGACGCATCACTAGGCTGGAGCCTTATTTATTAAGATTTCGATTTAACATTAAAAAAAACGCATAGAAGTTAGTGCTATAATTATCATCAATTTACAATAAGATATATACTAATCGTTAATATCAGATATACGTACAAATATACTGTATACTGTAACGATAATATTAATTTGTTATCATATTTTAGTATGCAAAGTTTAATTTTTGTACGTATGTAAACATAGTCGTAAAGTTATAAAAGCAGTATTAAATTATTTTCTATTATATATGTATACTTTTCAATTCTTATAATATAAATGTAAGGTATTATATGAGTGTCGCCAAAAGAAAACCCGACAATTAAATATAAACTATATTTAAATTGTCGGGTTTTCTTTTGGCGACACTCATATATTAAACCTCTTAAGAATTGTAAAGAAATTGCATATTCTTTCATTTTTCAATTTTTAATTGACATACGTCATTTGGTAAATTAAGACATGGCATTAGGATTTAAAACATGATCTTAAAAAACATTTGTGTTCGGTTTAAAATAGTTTTTAATACATTTTAAAACGTTATCGTAAAATTATGAATACGATTGTAAAATTAATTTATTTAACGTTAATAAAGATTAAATTTGAATTAGCAGTTTTGCTTTTTAAAATGAAATGTATTTTTAAGATCTTTATAATTAAAAACTTTTAATAAATATGAAAGCTTAATAAAAGAATTTTTTTTTCCGTATGAATATTTCTCGAAACGATATTATGGAACATTTCCGGTACAGAAATTAGCCAATCAGAACAATTATTTCAGTTTAAACTTAGCTGCCAATATTTTAAAACGTTTTTGTGTTTCAGTTAAAAAACAAAAAAACATTTTTAAACTGTTTTTTTTTACCATCCCTACATGGCATGTGTTCGGTATGCATTTACAAAAAAAAAATTATTACATGCTTATCTAAATGCTAGATACAACCTAAATTTGTCTACATAAAATACACATAACAACGTAAGAAATATTAACATAACACATTATTTTGTCTGCAGAAACATGACTTAGTGCTGCAATTCGCTTTTTGACACTCCGTATTTGGGGGTTCATGCCCCAATAATATTTTTCAGGTTGTTGGGCAAATGACATGAACCCTGCTTTATGTGCTACATCAATCGCTTCATAAAAATTTTCAATATAAACGAATTTGCGCATTCTATCTATATATATATATATATATATATATAGTTAAGTATACCCCTATACCCCCATGCAAAATACCCTGGAGCAAATCACAATATCTTTATTAATTAAATGTGGGGGTTTTTGAATTTCTAGACTGCTTATGGTAAATGCAGAATATGTATGTACGTACGTACGTACTTGAAATTTTTTTTCTTTACGACACAGACCTGCTGCTGAATAATATACCCGGGTCTTTTGTAAATTTTTTTGGTGAGTATTTTGCATTAGACCCTGGGTCTTTTACTCAGTGCTCTACGGTATGCAGTTCTCTATCGTACTGATACAGAATTTTGAAAAGAATAATCACTTGCTATATGACATTGAAAGTCTAATATTTAGTATAATTAGCCGTTCATTTTAGTGACATCTATCAATCAAACTTTGCCTTTTATTGATGAAGGTCTCTCTAATATTTGATCAAATATCTTACAAGGGCATTAGAATGATTATTTAACAAATAATTATAAGAATGGTTAATTAATGCTAACTATAAAGAGTTATTAGAAAGATTTTTTAACGCTAATCATAAAGGGGCATCTATAATTTACGTTAAACCGATATTGTTACACACTAGAGATTTTAAAGATAAAAATAATACTATATGGTGTTATCTTCAAGGTCTCTATACAATGCAGTATTGGTTTAACGTAAATTATGGGATGCCCCTAAAAAGCTTTTAGAAACTAATCAAAAGAATTAGAATGACTATTTAACATAACCATAAGTTGTTAGAACGATTACTTAATGCTAACTATAAAAGTTATTAGAATGTAATCATAAACAGATATTAGAATGATATTTTGCTTTGTACATCAAGTCCCCTGATCTGCATTAAGCGAGGCATCGCACTGATTTATTTTTCAAATCAATGAAAAAATCGTAAAATGACAACTGTAAAGTATGATTGGTACTCTGAGCAATTGATATTATAACTCGAAGAATAGTTTATTTATGCTTTGGAAAATACCCAGTTGGTGCAAAACACACTGAAAACTGGCAAAGTTGAAATTTACGATATGTCAATTGATAATCGAAAAATGACGCGTAACATATTATACTCCATTTGTAGACTATAAATGTAAGCAATCATATTACGTTTAGATCAGTGTTGAGCAAATTAGTGGTCGACCAAAAATTTACTGGTCAAATTGGTCAAATCAATTATATAAATATAATATATATATTATATAATAAATTATATTTAAATCTACTATTTGACCAATTTGACCAGTATAGATCCTTTGACCAGACCGGTCAAATTGGTCTGGTCCAATGGTCAAACTGGTCTGGTCAAGCCAACACTGATTTAAATATATATATATATTATAATTATATAATAAATTTGACCAATTTGACTAGTTCGACCAGTAATAAAGATGATTTGATCGGGATACTACAGTTGACATTATATTACAAGTATATTATGGTAAAATAGAGAATCTTCGAAGATTATATTGCTACAATGGTAAAATTTTCTTCTGCATATAAGGATATAGTTAGCAAAGTTATAAGAATTGATTGCAGTAAATGTGCCTTGATGTTATTATAATTAATGCTATTATTGAACAACTTAAAGCTATCACAATTATCGGGAGTTTGTTGAGATCTTGTGTAATATAAAAGAATAGAGATGAAAAAATAAATATTATGAATATGTTATCATTCTGAACTTTTCAAGTTTCTGTGCTGGAATAAATGCAATTGAAAGAACTGCAATAAGAACTATGTAAGGAATGTATAACCTTATTTCGAAATTAAGCATATTAGAAAGTGGTAATTTTGCCGATGATTTTGCTGATACGACAGAGAACAAACAAGTCAATTATACTTTTTTCGACATTATCTCAAATACTATGCAGTAGTTATAAAGTGTAATAAAGAATCTTGATCTTATACGATGAAAGAAACCTGGATTAAAAAAAGAACACTATCAATTCATTTCAGATATTTTTTAAATGAATCCAGTGTCATGTTAAAATCACGTAGCCAGAATTCATATCAATCTTAATTCTTGAATCTTTTCATTTAATAAATTTAATAAATTTAATAAATTTAATAAATAAATGCTATAGAATAACTTTGTATCATACTTTTTTTTTTTTTGTCAGTTTTTATTTACGCATTAGCGTCAGACTATTAAATAAATATAAACATTCAAAATTAAGACAAAGAACATTCTACTAGCATTTATATATCATAAGTACTGCACCGTTTCACCGCTCCATATCGTACAGTACGCAAATAATGTCAATATTTTAATGCGTGGCATTTTGTGTCCGGGTTTACATAGAACAAACGCGTAAACATACGTGTTTGTTACACCAAAAGTACAAATGTATACACGCGCTCGTACGAACCAAAATTAGGATATGTAAAAAATGTAAGGTTGATGCATCTAAAACGTAACTTCTGTATAGCTTTGCATAAAATACAATGTCGGAACAATTATTATATTATTATTACTATAGTTATTATTTTTATTTTTACAAAAAATATGATTTGAAAGTCAAAAATAATACGAAAGGAATATGAAAGGAAAAAAAAAATCTTATTTGTATCAGAGTTTTTTTTTTTTTTTTTAGATTTTGGATCCCAACGCTTTAATTTTTTTTTATTTGGTTTTCCTAATCTTTTCCATATAAAAAATGATGTAAATGTCAAATAAAAACATCAAATGCAGGAATACAGAAACACAGAAATAAAAATACATTTACACCAATAACAAAAAAAAAGTAACTTAGATATAAATTTTTATATAAAACCAAGATAAATATGAATATTGTTGTTGCAATATTTTAGTGAAGAAAAAAAAAAAAAAATCTTTAATGTACGATAACAACCATTCCTTCCATTTCAGATTTGCTCAAATAATCATTACTGATAGCATCCTCCTCTTCAAACATACTCACACTACCAACACGTGCCATACACATCTTTCTACGATATTTGAGGCATTGTTTGTACATTCCCCACACCGGTGAATTGGAAAATAAGCCTTGGCGTAGATGAGAAAGGAATGCATAAAAATCACATACTGCAACAACACGATCCCGACAGAACCTATCAATTGGAATCCATCCTGGGTTTCCTGTGACAGAAAAAAGTGACGATGAGGTTGTCGACGGTGGTACTGCAACATCCGAGTCCGAAATTCTCATACGGAAATCACAACTTCTAGTATGACCACAAAGACCACATTTAAGTTTTGGAGCTGGTGGTGGTTCATCATAATTACTTTGTGTATCTATCGGACTGTTGACTTGAGTTGTACTTGATGAAGTTGAAACAGTGGTTGAAAAACTAGAATGTATCGCTTGTATTTCACATTGATTTTTCATGATAGCATCTAATAGACGTCTTTTGTAAAATGGAGATTTCCATCCAGTACTACCTTCAAATAAGCATGGTTGAATATCTTCATTCATGCAACGTTTCATAAATGGATGTGTAGGTGTAGAACTAGTAGGTGGTACAGAGTTGATGAATAACTTTACATATTCTTGGAATTCCTCAAAAATTATACCATCAATATAAAGACGTTTGCCTTTAAATAATAAGACATTATCAAAAGGATTTTTGTTTGTAAAAATGCTAGGAGACATATGACCAAAAGCTTTTGTAAATCTTTGATTGTTAATCAATGAATTTGATAAACTTCGATGAAGTACAGAGTTTCTAGAAGTATTTAATGCAGGAACAGCTTGCCTTTGTTTAATAGAATCTAAATGAACTAATAAAGATTTCATTTCTCTTAATCTATCTTGTCTATTACCAGAAGATTTCAAAATACTCTCTAATTTGCCTTTAGTCTCTCTATTTAAACATTCTATTTCTTCACAAGTGTTAGCTTCATCAAATACCATTTGATTAAGCTTTACAAACATGCCATTTATCCAGTCATCTATTTCTTGTTCCAAGCTCTCTTTACTTGATTGAATTTTTGCGCAGAGGGCCTTTTCTTCAGCAAGAGATATAGCTAAAGCTGAGAGATCTCGTTTAAGGTAAGCACGTTCTTCAATATGTTGATCAACTTGAGCGAGTAATGTATTGCAACTGGAGCAGAAACTTTCAGATTTAGAAACGGAACTGGAAGGACGTAAAATATCATTTGAAATAAGGTCATCATCATCATCATCATAATCAATTTCTTCAGGTTCATCGGTAATTTCATGACACTCAAAATTAGATAGATTATCATCATCATCATGTTGAACATGTTGAATATGTTGAATATGTTGAATATATTCATCATCAGCAGAAGCGTTATCATTGTCAATTGAAGTCAAGTAGTCATTATCATCGATATCATCATCAACATTATCATCGTCAGATAAAAGAGCATCAAAATCAGCAATATCTTCAGAACCATCCAAGTCATATTCATCAAGGTCAGGTATATCGTCCAGCGAAATTTGGCTACCACAAATAGAATCTCTTCTTGAATTACTTCTTGAATTAATTCTTGAATTAAGTCTTGAATTATCATGGTGAACCAGCCGGTTATTGTTTATATAATCATCATTGGTAACAATATTATTTACAACATTATTAGATACTTGAACAAGTTTTGGAATAACTAAATCAACTTTATAGTCAGATTCGTTATTTGATGGAACAACTTTTGTATCAAACCGTATAGGTAGTAAAGAAGATTTTTTACTAGATTTTCGACCTTTTTGATTATTTTGAGCGGATTTTAAATAATTTAAACATAGACTGATATTATCCAAGAATTGACTTTCTAAGTCAGTTGATTCAACGGCAGTAGCATCATCGTCATCATCATCTTTATTAACATCATCATCTTTATTAACCTCATCATCTTTAAGATTTTGAGCTTTAATTATTTCTATAGCTCTTACTAGAATAATTATGGATTCACGAGCACCATATTCAAGACGACTATTTTTTGTTTTTAGTTCATGAATATATTCATCTTTTTCACCTATTTCTTGAAGTAATTGATTACGTTCTTGTTCATGCATTTCATTTATGTTCTGTTTAACAAATTAAAATAACGAAAAAAAGTTAATAAAATTTTTAGCGAATTATCACGTGGAATATTTTTGTATATAATTATTTCGCATAATAATTTATATACGTAAAATTTCACACGCACACACACACACAAAAAAAAATATGTTTTTTACAAACCTCAAGGTCATTTTCTAGTTCCACTACTCGACTTTCAAGTTTACTAACGAGATCTTGAGCTTGAAGCATTAATGGTAAGAAACTCGCAGCATCAATTTGAGCGTTTTCTTGACCATTCGCTTCACATAATTCGTCTATCACATCAGTTTCAGACATATTATAAAATTTGTAATAATATCTTTAAATTCTAAATTTTGGGTTAATCCAATTTTATCAAATTTATAATATCATTAAAATGTCAAAAAGATTTTTATATATGGAAAAGATAAATTATGGGTGATAAAGTAAAAAAAAATAAAAAAAATAAAAAACGATTCGAATGTAAACTATATATATAAATATTATATATAGAATTTTTTATCGTCGTAAAAAACTTTGTTTGATAACGAAATTATCAAGTTAAACCCCAGGTTTGTTAAAGATGAAAAGAAAAAAAAAAAACAAGCAGAAAAAAAAAAAAAAAAAAAGAAGGAAAAAAAGGAATATATATACAAAAAAAAAAAAAAAAAAAAAAGAAAAAAAAAAAAGGGGGAAAAAAAGGACATGCTATTTACAGGTTTTATAATTGGGGTTTTTTTTTATATGGTGTGGCAAAAATATAATTTGTGATAATAAATAAACTATTATCGATATATAAATATATTTTTTTACTCATTTAATATATCTTTTCCCCCTTTGTAATTTAAATTACTGTATCTCCCCGGTGTATCTCTACGATTAGATGCAACTAAACTAATAGGTAATGCAATGAACACAAAAGAATAAAACAAGTTAATACCCTCTCCGTAAATGTTCGGGTATTGTAGTACATTAATGCTTAACACAAAAACGGGAGAAATGAATAAGCAATTAGGGAATGATATCATTGGATTAAACGTAAAATATTACTTTAGGCTTGTACCCAGATTACAGGATAAGTTGTTTGTACTGCATCTTTATTATAATATAATATAGCATCATCGTAAGGAAAAATAGGATAAAAAAGATTTAAATATATACATTTAAATACTTTTTATACATTTGAATACTTTTTATACATTTAAATACTTTTATATATAAAATAATTTAACATTTTCATCTAAAAAAAAATGACTCGCGTATGTACATTACTATAATCATTATTATAATTAATAATAATGTTCAAAAGAATTATTATTGAACGATATACTTTTTAATAATTACAATAATCATTAATATGTTAAAATATAGCGATAATGCATTATTACACAATAGCATTATCATGATCATTGTGCAAATAACTATACGGACGATTACATGGATTACATGGATACTTTGTTTCGTTGATCCAAATTTATCAGATATCAATTCTAGCTGCAGTTTTTTACCTACGCCGAACTTCTAATATAAAAAAGAAAAAGATTTGCAATTTTTTTATTAATCTATATATTGAATATCTCTTAATTTTCTGGATTATTATCCGGATTTATTAGGATATTCAAGTTGTAAATGAGAAAAAAAAAGGAAATTATCATTGTTAAACATCAAATGATAATTTTTACCTTACCACGTTCGTCTGGGGAAATAGATCAAAAAATATATTGTATATATATTGTATTACAGTATTGAGCTCTTTATAAATATCGTACAAACATTCTTGTACATAAAATCGATGAAAATCAGCTAATCCTGTAAACATGCATATAACTTTGTGATAAGCTGAGCGCTTCGATAAAGAAGCGCGTATATCTTTTACTATCAAATGTGAACAAGATAGTCACAAGATTTCTATCCAAGAGAATAGTATACTTAATTAAAGTATACAGATAAATCAATATGTTAACTATATTGTTGTATATAAACAATAAAGTATTTTTAATAAATAAAAGTAAATAAAATTTTGATTACGATTAAAGAATTGCATTTTTAATTTGTAAATATATATATATAAATTATATAGTTTGAATTATTAAGCTCTTGTTAGTTATTTTAAACTCGGTATGTATTGTTTCACTAAGAACATTCTGGTTTAATGTTTATAGTTTGACTTATTTTAAGACAATTAACGTTAAAAGACGCGGATTTACTAAAAATTTTCGAATTTCTTTTTTAAAGTTACACTAATCTGAATCGTCAAAAATTATGTGCATTCATTCTAAAAACAAATGGACGATTTTTTTCCAAAAATAGGATGTGTACGATCTCAAATTATATTAATTACCCTAAATTGTACCTGCGTTAAGGAGAGATCGTGATCTTAAAGAAATTAAAAAAACGCGCAGATCTCGATCTTCTATTGTATATGTTTGAATTATGTTGTATATGTTTGAGTATTGAATTTTTGCATAATTTAATATATTTAAACGATGTTGATAAAAACACTACATATTCAGGTACTATACATAATTAAAATTTCTAAAATAAAGCCTTTAACACACAGTACGTGCTGTATGTATGTATTGTACGTATCAAGTATGTACATACGTACGTACGGGAGGCATTAAGTATCAAAATTTTTTGTTATCTGTTTGGATCTTGTCACAATAAAACAATATAATAAATTCGACTTCTTATTTGTAAAGCTCTACATATAACTTTATATAACTTTATTATACAAATCAGTATACAGTATATATTTTTTATTCATATCTAAGTTGGGATCTTTGTATTTCAAAAAAAAACCATAAAAATTGCTAAACTTATTGGTTAGGATCACCGAACAATAACAAAGTTGTTTTTCTCAATTTTTTAAAATTTTTAATCAATTTCTTCTTACGCATATATCTTACATATATATCTTACACATATATCTTACACATATATCTTACACATATATCTTACACATATATCTTACACATATATCTTACACATATATCTTACA